TCTGGCTTTATTTATCTTGAACAATGGGTAGTCCCATTTGTGGCTTTGTTAATTAACATAACACACACTAGAGGCCCAGTGCACAAAATTTGGGGGAGGGTGAAGAGGGGTGAACCCTCAGCTTGAACTGCACCCTCTCCAATCTGGGACCCCGTAGGATTGGGCCTAAACTGGCAATCGGACATCCCTCTCACAATCCGGGACCGCTGGCTCCTAACTGCTCACCTGCCTGAATGCATGCCTGCCTGCCTGCCTGATTGTCTCTAATCCCTCTGCCTGACTGCCTGCCTGATCACCCCTAACCACCTCTCCCTCCCTCAGTCTAAGCTGCGGTCTGGCCTCCTTCTGAGGGAGGCAATGTGGAAGGTGCCGCCCCCATTACCCTTCTGCTTTGCCACTGCCAGCCTGATCCTGGCCCTTCACAGCTGCTGGGGCTTTGTCCGTAAGGACCTCCAGAAGGTCATCTAAAAGACATCCACCCTAATTAACATATTACCCTTTTATTAGTATAGATTAGAAATGGGCTTTCATTGGGGGAAATCTCAGTGATCAAGTAACATGATCCAACTGGAAATACCTTCGCCTGGGCATTCCTATTCTTACTGAACTGGCTATGAGGGCAGACTGAGTCTTCAGCCTGAGAATGGCACCACAGACTCAACCCGTCCATTTGGCCCTACTGATTGGCAGTCTCAGTCAAGTGCTCCCTACTACACTGTGTCGCATCTGCCTCAGGTGAACAGGCAACTTGTGTCAGTGTACCAAGGAGAGGTCTCGGGTCAGGCTGCTGCCTGCCAGTTACGTGTGCATGTGTGGCAGAATTTGGTCTGAGACCTGCTTTCTTTAGAACTTGGAGCAGGTCATGAGAAAGAAGCTAAACTTCATCCACCCATAACTACTGGCAACACCAACATCTAACAAAACAGCCTAATCACTGTGTAAAACTGAGGTAGGTCCACTGTTAGTGACAATGAGCAAGTGATACTCATTATCATTTAAGTATACTGTAGTAAGAAAAATCAGGATAGTAGTCAAGTGCTCCAACTCTCAGGTGCACCAGTATTTGAGGCTTTGCTCACCCACTAAAAAGCAGTCAAGTTCATGTCTTTGTCTTGCTGCAAAGGGAGACATTTCCCATCCCTTAGGTGTGTTGTGAAGAATGAATGACACAATGTAGGTGAAAATAGACAGCACACTGCAGGAATGAAATAAGACTTCAGCTATTATCCTTATTACCATTACTGTTTACACTTGCCTAGAGTAAATCCTGCCAAGCCTTATTCTTGAATTGCCTTGGAAGGTCTCTCTAGAATTTCTTAATTACACCTCTCACTTCCCCTCTGACGTATGTACTGTCATTTTCTGGAGCTAGCTTCCCCCACACTGGCATCCCCCAATTAGCCCATAAGTTCCAAGAGAGCAAGCAAGGTCTCTGGTTCAACATCCAGTTCCCAGAGGCCTACCTGGGTGCTGGGTACACAGAAGGTGCTGAGTGATCTCTCTCCTCTAATGTCTGCTTCCATTAGCACCCATTAACCAAAAGCCTAATCAAAACCCAAGAGTATAGCAAAGTCAGAGAAAAAATAAGATGAAAAATAAATAAGTAAATAAATAAAGCCAGGCTGGCATGGCTCAGTGGTTGAGCCTCAACCTAGGAACCAGGAAGTCATGGTTCGATTCCTGTCGGGGCACTTGCCCAGTTGCGGGCTTGATCCCCAGTATGAGGCATGCAGGAGGCAGCTGATCAATGATTCTGTCACATCATTGATGTTTCTATCTCCCTCTTCCTCCCTTCATCTCTGAAGTCAATAAAAATATGTTTTTAAATAGAATAAGATGACCTGAAGACTAGACAGGTACAGGTAGATAATGGCCAGTAACAAACTAAGCTTTGGGGAGTTCCTTACTCGGTGCCAAACCTTGTACTAGAGACTGTTATCACATGAAATCCTCATAACCCTAAGAAGTATTGTCACACCCATTCTACAGTTGAGGAAAACTGAGGTTAAAAGAGAATAAGTAACAAGTGCGGTCACACCAGCCTCACTGTCCAGACTTCCCAAATCAAACCCAGAGTCCAAAGCCCAGACTCTTTGGGTAACCCATTGTTCCTGATGGTCTTCAAAGTCCCCAAAACATCTCTCTCCAAACTCAAATTTCTCACAACTTAAATATCTAACTGGTGACTTTTTAATTTTTTTGTGTGTGTGATGTTTGGGATATTTAGTTTTTTTAATGGGTATCTCAAATGTATTAATAGCAAAGCCCTGGCCAGTGTGGCTCAGTTGGTTGGAGCATCATCCCATACATTGAAGGGTGGCAGGTTCGATTCCATTAAGGGTGCATATAAGAGGCAACTGATTGATGTTTCTCTCTCTCTTTCCCTTCCTCTCTAAAAATCAAAACAAACAAATAAATAAAAATGTAGCAGAGCAAAAAAAAAAAAACAAAACTGGGTTTTCCCTGCCAAATGTCCTCTTGCCTATCAGCCTCCGATTCATCTCAACAAATGACACCATCATCTATCCAATTACTCAGGCCAAAAACCGAATCTCTCATTCCCACACCCTGCACTCCCCACCACCTTGGGAAGATGGCTGAGGGCAGAGATATTTATCTGGCTCACTGCCACACGCCAGCTCCTGGCACCTCGCTGGTGCTGCCGTTTCATGATATAAAAAGACATATATATTTGGTCTTCATCCCCCATAGGGGAGGCCCAGCACTTGTGAATGGTAGCTGAAATGGGGGTATGGAAGGGTCCAGACCTGTGGAACTATGCCTTTAACCTGCGGAATACTAACTCCTAACTCCAGATGGTTAGTGTCAGAATTGAATTGAATTGTTGGACATCCAGTTGGTGTCCAGAAAGTTGAGTAATCAGTTGCCTGGGGTAAGTGGAGACCCTATTAATTTATTTATTCATTTATTTATGTAGGTAGGTAGGTAGATATTCATTTATCCATTCATTCATTTTTATTGATTTTTAGAGAGGAAGGGAGAAAGAGAAAAAAGATTGATCAGTTGCTTCCCACGTGGGCCCAGAGTGAGAATGAAACCCACAACCTGAGTATGTGTCCTGATGGGGAATCAAACTGCCAACTTTTACTGTAAGGAGAATGGGGGAGGGAGAAAGGCACTCCAACCGACCCCATACAACTGATAGCAGAAGTGCTGTGAATAAAAATAGTTCATAAGTGCTCAAACAAACAGCTAAGTTTCTGCTGGTCTCCGAATTCTTTTAAATGCAAGCTTATCAGTCACTCCATACGAATAAAGCCATAGTGTCATCACCCCTCCGCCCTGAGACCGACCACAGCGACGTCTCAACAGTCCCCAAAAAGCAGAAGGTAACTTCTCCGTGATGAGCGGCCAGGACTGGGTTCTTTCCAAAGTCCTGACAGGGGGATTTTAGAAAGAAGTCATTACATTCTGCTACAATATCAGATACACCAATAATTCTTTTACAGGACCCGCGTGAGGGCCGGCGGTAATTTTCAGAGCTCTCCCTTAGCTACTTGGAGTGACAGAAAGGCTCACGGGGCTTCCAAAGAACTGGGGGAGATGCCCCAAAACATCTGTAATGCAATTACTATTAATGAAAAGTATTTCGTCAAACTGGAAAGTATCTCCAAACAACAATTAAAGATTTGCAAAGCTTTCCTGAGAATCAGAACATTCAGAAAATAGCTTTTTCGGGTCCACGTTAGTCTGGGAAGCATCCTCTCTCCCCTTGCCTAACTCAGGGCAAGCCCTTACACCGCCCATGTTCTCATCTCTGAAGGCCAGCTTGAATGCATGCCCAGTACAGTAGTAGGAGAGCTCAAAAACCAAGCCCTAACTCCAGTGGCCACCCCGAGGGGGTTGGGTTATCTGCAGATTACCTGCCGGGATAGGACAATCAGGAAGGTTTCAGAAACCTGGAACAGTTTAACCTCTCCATCGCTTAGGAGCTGACCTCGGTTGCCAAAAGCTTAATGTATGAGGAAGCAAGGACATCTCTGACCTTGAATGCCTCCCCCCCCCCCCCCCCAGAGTTAAGATTCTTTTGTGGAAACACACCACGCTGACAGTCAGTGTAGGCTGGGAGGAGGAAGATGGACACCGGGAAGGCTTTACCTATTTCGTGTGTGTTTGTTTTTTTCCTAACTGCAGGGACGAGCGAGAAATGAACATGAAAGGGTTAAACCTATCATTCCGCCGCGATGCACCCCTCCCGGCAGGAGACGCCTATCCCAACGGGGCATACGTTTTAAGACACCGAGAGAGTTTAACAAATGAGAGTTACAACACAGGCTCGGGCAAGTTCGGTTTCCACCCAGGATGGGGATGGGGGGTTAGGGGGGAGGGGGGCCTCTGGCTCTGCCCAGGCAGCCGCGGTGTCGCCCCCTTCGGGTCGGTCAGGTCGGGAAGCGCAGGCGGCAGGGCTTCGCCTTCCCCCCGCCTAGACCTGGGCGCCGTGGTTGGGACCCCAGGCTTGGAGACGTTCCCGAAGGGACGGAGCCCATGCTCTGGCGGCCTTGCAGAATGCCAGGCGCAACCTGCAGGGGCCATGGGACGGACCCGAGTTTTGCTCCGAGCCTGGGAAAGGAGGTGCTGCCCCGCCTCCCCGTCTTTTCCTGGGTGATCCCCGGAACTCGTTAGCGTCCTGGGAGGCGATGACACCCGCCGGGAGCCATAGGGACCTTCCCCCAAGCCTGCCCACCGCGCCCCAGCGCAGTCCTGGAGGCCGGACGGGGTGACCTGGGGGGGTGGCGGGGAGACCCTCGGGCTTCCCCGCGTCCCAGTGTCCCTTCCCGCCCGCGCGACACGGGATTTCCCCCGCCTGCCCCGCGCCGCGCTCAGGCCCGAGGGTCTGCCCCGGGCGATCCACCTCCCGCACCGTGTTCCGCCCCGGAGCCCGGGCGCACGGCCAGGGGATCTGCCCCACCGCGCGGTGCCTGCGCGCCCGGCCCCGCCGCGCGATCGGCCGCCCCCCGCACCGCCCCCGCCCCGCTCACCTGGCCCGCACAGCACTGCGCCGACATCGCGGCGGCCGGCACCGCGGGCGCCCTCGCCCGCTCCCGGCTCCCCGCCGACAGTCCTCCCCAGCCGGCCTGGAGCCCCTCCGCGCTCAGGCTCCAGCCTCCACCGCAGGTGGCCTCCCCTCGCCGCGCGGCAGGTACTAGGGCCGGGGTGCACCCAGCCCCATCCCAGCCCGGCCGCCGCAGCCCCGCCCCGCCCGCCCCTCCGCCAGCCCCGCCCTCCAGACTCCGCCCCTCAGGCTCCGTTCCTCAGGCCCCGCCCCGCCCGCCCTCAGGCCCCGCCCCTCAGGCCCCGCCCCTTCCCGGGCATCGGGCGGCGGAGCAGGCTCGGTCCGGCGAGCACTTCCGCCGGCGGCAGCTGTCACTTCCCGGTGTGGCCTTGGGCTCCGGAGTCCGCCGGCGGAGCGGCCGGCCGGGCGGTGCGCCCCTCGGCTCCCCGGCTCCCGGGGAAACGCTGGCCGCCGGCTCCGGTAACGCGAGGAGCCTTTGGTGCAGAGATTCCCGGGCGCCCCGAACTCCACCGGCGCTATGTATCCACGGGATCCCTGTCCCTGAAATCCCTTTTCCTTCCTCGTCTGCCACCTTCTGGGGAAGTCGTCTCTGCCCAAGCTTCCTCGGACCCGGCGCCAGGCTGTTGTGCCCTGATTTCCAGGGCCCCTTTGGCAGATCCAGCGGGAGCCCTGTGCTCACATCACTCGGCGTTATCACATCGCTCCCCCCTTACCCTCCTCCCGAGAGCGCATCCCAGGCCCAGGGACTCAGTGTGCATCCCTGCGTTCTCCCACCTGGCCTTACTAAAAAGGGGTCCCCAATAATTGCTTGTTGCGTTCAGAAAGCAGAGAGGGGTGCCCTTAGTTTTTCCCCCAAATATTCTCCTCACAGCCACTGACGCAAAGAAGGATATCTGTTAGGAAGAACTTTGCCCCAAGCCTTTTTTGTTACCCAATCCCTTGAGTTCACTGCTCGGGGTGTTCTATTCAAGAACCAGGCATGGTTGTGGCTAGGTGGTTTAATGTACCTGCAGCAAGCAAAGGAGATAAGGAATTCACATCCAGAGCTCTGCTCTGTCTCCCCAAAGGGAGGCTTAGCCATTGCTTATATGCCCTGCTTGGTTAACTGCATGTTGATTTCTCCTTTGCAGTTAACTCACTAAGTTGGGTCTCTGTCTAGCTCATCCTGTTACAGCTGCTTCCGCAAAATACTGTGATATATTTTAACATTTAACAAGTATTCATTAGGAACAGCCCAGACTCGTATCCTATCTTAACACTTATAATTGGCATTACTGTGCCTGCTTGTTTTAGAAATGAGGAAAATGAAGTCCAGAAAAGGTTAAATAACTTGCTCAAAGCTCCACGGCAAAGCTGAAGAAGCAAAACTGGGACTGGAATCAGAACCCACCGGTGTGCTCTTGCACATGGCTCAAGGCTTGTCATTGAGTGGCTTCCAGACAGAGTCTTTGGCTAGGAAGTGACTGGCTGGGCAGTTTAGGAGGTGGAGACTATGAGGAAAGGCAATTATCGGAAGAGAAGTGATGGAGTGGGCCCTACTGAGCCATAGAAATGAAGAGTTGACTCTAAAAAGAATTTCTAATAATGTTTAAAATTTTTAAATTAATAATTTTTAAAAATTGTAAACAGTCTTAGGCCAGTGTGGCAATTCTGCACGGTGGCCGCCCACGATTCATGAAAAGCCATACCTCTCACAGGACTTCAGGAAGCTCCATTATTGGCTGCAGTTGTCACTTTGGCCCCACCTCTCACTAACACATTAACTCACTGGAGTTTCCGCCCCGTGGGAAGAGCCAGGCAGCCTCCAGGGAAAAGGAAGGTATGAAATCCACACGTGTTTGAGCAGGCTGGGACGCTGAGGCCTCTGAGCCTTTGACAGAAACTGGAGTTCACGAAATCGCAAAACTCTTACTAGGGAACACAGGGCTGGAGACAGAACTGGTGGTAGGATTCAGTCCTCCTGACCTTGAGTCCTGTGCTCTTTTGATCAAATCGATGCCAACATAGGGAAATTCCGTGACTATATGGATGTCAGCCTTGAAGAGAAAGAGAACAGAAAACAAGTCTTAATAAAATAACCTGGGGATTTGTAGACTGTGCCCCAAGGTACTAGTAATGGAAGCCTGAGCTTTCAGAGTCAGGTACTTGAAATTTTTAACTGTACCAAGAACTGACAGGGCGACCTCTGAGCCTCAGTTGTTTTTGTTTGTTTGTTTGTAAATATATTTTATTGATTTCAGAGAGGAAGGGAGAGGGAGAGAGATAGAAACATCCATGATGAGAGAGAATCATGGATTGGCTGCCTCCTGCACTCCCCCACTGGGGATAGAGCCTGAAACCCAGGCATGTGCCCCAACAGGGAATCGAACCAGGGAGGGACCCTTCAGTCCCCAGGCTGACGCTATATCCACTATATCCAGCCAAATCGGCCGGGGCCTGAGCCTCAGTTTCATCATCTGCAAAAGGGAGCTGATAAGCCATGCTCCAAGGATTAGATAAACTCAACCCTACAAACTAGGCAGTTCATGTCTTCTTAAGCATGACTAAATTAGTAGCCCTGACTGCTATTAATAAGCCAGTTTAAATGATATTAAATATTCAATGCAGGTTGATTCCCCTCTTCCTGCTGGAAGATCTCGGAGGAATGTGGCCTTGTCTGGAGCCTTCCTGGCTCTGGGGGCTGTGCGTTACTATTTAAGATCCTGTTGGTAGCATGCTGTGTATCTGTGGTAGGTGAACAAGAATAGAGGTAAAGTCAACAGACATAAAACAGTGGCACCTTAACTTAAGAACTCTGCGGACTTTTTCAAGTAAGCTGTTTGTTGTGCGTGGTGTTCCTAACAGGCAGGTAGTTTTGCAGTCTCTCTCTTTTGAAGTGGCTGTTTCAGGAACAAGCAGTAATAGACCTGTTCTAATAAGGCTGTAGATCTTGGCAGTCCATGTGAAATAGTTTCCCCTCAAAAGTTTTCTTAAGTTAACTCAGTTTTTTATACAATATAATGATATATGTATATATAACATTATAAATAACCATCTTATAATTTGATATTTTCCCTCCTGAATTTGAAGATTTCTTTTTCCCCTTAGGAAGGAGAGTTCAATGTTGACTTTAAAAACACCACACCCTGAACTAAAAACAACAGTGGCATATATGTTATTAAAGAAAAAAGCATAACCATAGACACCCAGTTATTTTTACCTTTAATGAATTTAGAAAACTCTTGGTTCATAGGTCAATGCTTAACCACTGAGCCACGCCAACCAGGCTTCATTACAAATTTAATTTCCAGTTCAAGATTGGCTTAAAAACAAAATTAATTCTTCTACCTCCCTAAAACCTCAACTTAAAACACACACACATACACACACACACACACACACACACACACACACAAAACAAAACAAAAAAAACCCTAGTGATGTGTTCTATTGGGTTTTAAATATAGAGGAGGAAATTTCTCTTATATTCACTTGTGAAGTCTCCAGAGACCTCAATCTAGTAGTGGAAGTTTAATTAATTTTGATTACAAGTCAACAATAAAGTATTTATTTACAACAAATAGCTATATATTTGGAGCTACAAACAAAAAATAATCAGACCCCCATAGTGCCCCCACCTCACTCCTACTGGTAACTGAATTCTTCTTTATTTCTATTAAATAATTATATACACAATGTTTTTTAAATATCAAAAACCTTTAAAATACAAAATGAAAAATAGCATCTTTCTTTTGTACAACCTACCTTACAGTCCCCTCCTCAAAAACAACCATTATCAATTATTTTTGCAGCTTTCCTTTCACATTTTTAAATAATATTCTTACACTGTATATTATTATTTCCTGACCTGTTGATTATATTCTGTATTATCTTTTTTTTTTTTTTTTTAATGATTTGGAGGTGGGAAGGAGGAAGGGAGAGAAAAAGAGAAACATTGATTTGTTGTTCCACTTATTTATGCAGTCATTAGAGGCCCAGTGCACGAAAATGTGTGCACTTGGGGGGGTGCCCCTCAGCCCAGCCTTCACCCTCTGGAAATCCAGGAGCCCTCAGGGGATATCCGACCAACGGCTTAGGCCCACTCCTGGCCTCCCTCTGCGGAAGGCAACTGGGTGGGTCTCTCAGGGGATGGCACCAGCTACTTGACATCACCCTTCCTCTGTTGCCCCTCCGCCATTGGCCGCCCCTCCCCCCCCATTACCCTATTGCTTCTCCACCACTGATCATTGCTGCCCTGTGATCACCATCCCCTCCCTCTGCCTGGCGCCCCCTGCTGTCCCGCCTCCTACTAGGCCCCCCACCCCCCTGCACTGGTCATTCTGCAGTTCAGTCGATTTGCATATTATGCTTTTATTATATAGGATTAGTTGCTTCTTGTATGTGCCCTGACTAGGGTTCAAACCCACAACCTTGGCATGTTGGGACAACACTCCAATCAACTGAGCTGCCCAGCCATGCATGCCTATTGTGTATCATCTTTTATGTTGTGTTATATTAAGCTGAAAGCTTAACCACTGAGCACTCCCATCTGCCCTCTTGCCAATCTATACCACAGTTTTCATAAAGGTAATAGTCAACATTTATATAATTATTGCTAATAAAAATTATTACACAATGAGAGCGTTTTTTTCTTAACAACTTTTTATTTTTCAGTCCTATCCCCTTTTCCTGGAGAGTCAGTATATTCTAGTAGTTAGGGGTAAAGATTGAACTCAATCAGATCTTTGCTTTGCCACTTACACAATCTGTAATTTTGAGGCTGTGACTTCATCTCTCTCCCCACTTCTATAAAAGGAGGTTTAATAAGTTATATACATATGAAAGCACTTAGGATAGCATCTAATATGCATTAACTATTTGCGTGGTTAGCTGTGTACCCAATCTTGATTTTTCTTCATCTATCTGCCTGTCATAATTCTTTCTCTCAGGTACTCAACCATGTCAGAGAATCGATCAATTCCACTTTCCCAGGAGCCCTGTTTGCCTCCCAAA